ACTCTCTCTCACACACACACACACACACACACACTAGTCACTCAGTGAATTTCTTCTATGCATCATTGCATCTTTACACTGATTTTTAAGCAGCCACAGAGCAGCCTTAACTCAGATGTGTAGACACGTGGAGAGAACAGAAAGAGTGTGAAGAAAAACAAAGTCTAAAGAAACCTGGCTGGTCAATAGTGAACAAATAATGATATCCTTTCAAATGATTCGTAATAAATCACGAGTCACTATATTTCCATCATTCATGTGATGACATGTCTAATTACAGCAGATAGATACGATAATGACTCAAAAGTGCATCTATAGTAATTAGACATGCGGTCACATCACTCAGAAGATTCATGGTTTATTACGAATACTTCAACAGGATAGAATGTAGTTTGCAGAATGTTCTATGCTGTCGATCTCTCAATCTGGTTTTGAGAAATACATTAAATACAAACTTTAAGTTTTAAAGCGATAGTTCACCCAACAATGAACTTTGTCATCCCTTTCTCGCCCTCGACCTGTTCCAGTTTCTTCTGTTGGAAGATATTCTGAAGAATGTGTTTTTACCAAACAGCTGTTGGTCCCCAGTGAAACAAATTTCCGCCCCTCTAGAATTTGAGGTGAATCTTGTGATTGTTCTTCACGACGATCATGTGATAACAGAGAACCAGCATCTGAAGCTTCGGATTCGTTGAAGGAATCGTGCGTCTTTTTCTTACGACGAATGAGAAGTTGCCTTTTTCACCACAGTAACTCACATTTAAAAGACTCCGTTGACCATGAGTGAATATTTACATTTGTTTCTGTAATATAAGTGTTTAGTAAAACTCACGTGTGAGACACGGATTAAACGGATTTCCGTCTCATTTGTTTTACTTGTAGACGTTATACAGGGAGTCCCTAATGTTTTTGAACCCTTCGGAGTTATTTTAAGTTAACATTTCAATGATTTAACACCATATTCACACTTCCCCTGGAGGAAATATATATGTATATAATGTAAATATAAAACAGCAGACAGGCTTATTGAAAGTGCAAATTCACAAGTGCTTTAGGAGCGGCAGAAACAGCGGTTTCCCCGTAACGGCTGTAAACAAAGCAGCTGCGCTCATGAACGCTACTTTATCCGGCGTTATCCAGCTTGTGGGTTGTGCCAGACTTCCGGTTCATTAACCGCTGTAGGGAAATAACGAGAAGAATATCAAAGTGCAGTAAACTACAAACCAGTGTGTTCGTCATTGAGATAATACATTAAAACAACACAGTAACTTGCAATATCAAGCAGCTAAATGTGCTGTTTTGTACAACTAAAAATAGCTGGAAGTGAATGACACCGAAAGCCTCGCACATTAAATTTACAAATGGCCGCACCGCTCTTACGGGAAAAATAAGCTGGATAGGAAAGTTTAAATAAAAATGACATCAAAACTTACATTCATATAAAATGCCAGGAGAACGCTGCTTTGGTTAAATGTTTTAATGAAGTAAAATGACAAGCAAAAGTAAAAGCGGATGAGTAAAATCAGTTCACGGCATGAACTTTATTAGAGGAATGAAAAACACAGATGTGCCCTGAAAGTATACATCACCGATTGGTCCGTCGAGGTTCCAACAGCCGAAAACAAACAGTGTATGTGATTAAATGAGCTGGATGAGGAGACTGGTGTCTGATGCGTATGCTGATGAACATACAGCGGGTCAGTTAAATGCGGCGGCGGGTGCGTGGCTCCTGCGGTGTCTGCCGGGCAGCAAGGGAAAGTCCTCCGGTAAGAGTGCGTGTTCTCGACAGGTGGGACACGTGCTCTGCTCCTTCAGCCACGACTTTATACACTGAAACACACACACAGCATCAGTCTACAGCTGCCAGATGCTCAGGAAGACGTGACGAGAGCAAGCGTCCTGACCTCTCTGTGGAAGCTGTGGCGGCACTCCAGGACACACACTTCCTCTGGACTCATGTCCTCGTGACAGATGATGCACGGATCCTCCATGTTCAGCTGACGGCACACACGCATTCACATGTTCAGCGAGGTTAGAGTTAGACGAGTGCAGTGAGTTTAAGTGTGTGTGTGTGTGTGTGATTCTTACCGCCAGCGGCGTGTTGCGATGTTTCTCTGACACTGTCTTCCACACGTGTGGAGGAGTCATGTGACCCCCAGCGTCTCCACCTGTGATGTTCATGTGCTCCTGCAACAGGGAACCACATCGTCACTCCACAGCATAAACACACACACACGCACACACACGCGCACATACACGCGCACATGCACATACACACATGCGCGCACACACACACATACACGAGAGAGAGCGAGCGAGACTGTTACGCACACGCGTGTTCTCCTGATGATCCAGGATGAGCTGAGCCACTCGGTTGATGACGTCATCATAGGTCAGCGTGTTGAGAGCGCCTCCGCTGGACACACGGACCTCCTGGATGAACTTATTCATCACCATCCTACACACAAACACACCAGTTCTCAGAAGACTGGAATGAGGAGGATTTATTCGTGTTTCTGAAAGAAGTCTCTTCTGCTCACCAAGGCTGCATTTATTTGATCTAAATACAGTAAAAGGGTTTTGTTTCAGAAACATGAATGCTGTTGTGTGTGTTGTAGCCGCACCTGTTGTAATGAGGGAACATCATGTGCAGCCGCTCCAGGATCCTGTCGTACACAGAGAGGTGCTGCGGCGCTGAAGGCCGATGGCTCACAGGCTCTTCAGGAAGTCTGTCCGCAGGCTGCGGTGTGCTTCTTCCTGTGGGTGTGGGGGTGCGGGCGGCAGGAAGTGACCCGTAGAAGTGAGAGCCGGACGGCTGAGGAACTGGAGGAGGAAGCATGACCTGCAGGACACACAAACACTGATCAGATGACCGGTCATGACCCCTGACCTTCAGGTGACCCACGGCTCTCACCGGTAGAGCAGGTGCTGCGGGGACGCTGGGAACACTGATATCAGGCAGTGAACTCAGTCTGGCGCCCTTCTTCACCTGATCCATCTGAAGCTCAAACTCCATCTGAGAGAAAGCACAGAGAAAGCACCACAGTGTGTCTGATCTGTTAATCAGAACGGATTGTGTCTCAACACAGAGCCGTACTGCAGCGTGCTGTCGCAGGTCGTGAGAGAAGACAGTAGCAGAAGGAAGCTCACCTGAGTCCTGTTGGTTTTGTCTTCGGCGTCACACACGTGTCTCTTCCAGTCGTCTACGGCTGACAGCAGTGCAGCGGAGCGGAAACTGCAGCACAATCAACATCACAATCATAACACCTGTAAATCACACACTGTGTAAACACCTGAGAGTCTGCAGTGTACCTGAGCGACGCCTCTGTCAGGTGTTTGACCACCATCTTCCCTTCAGAGACGCTCATCCTGAGCCGCCGCAGCGCGTGTTCAGATCTGCTCTGCAGGACACACAGCTGAAGCACACACACACACACACACCAGTGTCAAGTCAGCGTCCAGGAATGAACACATCCTCAGCACACGGGCTGAAAGCCTCACCTGAGACATGGTGGATCTCCTCTGGGCCTTCACACACGCGTCTCTGAAGCGCTTCACCTCTTCTTCTAGACTCAGCCGCTCAGACGCACACTGGTTACTGCAGGACGCGTGCAAACACGTTAATGCATCAGTGTGACACACACACACACACACACACACACACACACACACACACACACTCTCTCTCTCTCACACACACACACACACACACTCTCTGTGACACACACACACTCTCTCACACACACACACACACACACACACACACACAGAGACTCACACACTCTCACAAACACACACTTACACAGATACTCACACACTCTCTCACAAACACACTCACACAGAGAGATACTCACACACGTTAAGAGTGGGTGATATGACCAAAACTTTACATCACTATACGAGTAATTTTATTTCATGGCAACGATATATATCACGATATAGTTATTTTTGCTTTAGATAAGGTCTTTATATCAACATTTTTAATACCATAGAAATTTCATAATTCTTGTCACCAGTGTCAATATCACAAAAAACGAATACTAGCCTAAAATAAAAAATAAAAAAAGATTTAAAAAAATCAAGCACACTGACGACAAGTAAACAGGCAGCAATTAAAAAAGAATAAGAAACTAATTACAAGCATTAGGACAAAAGCCTAAAAAAAAACAAACTCACGCTCACTGAAGTAAACAGTCAGCGATTAAATAATAAGAAACTAATTACAAGCAAAAGGACAAAAAAAAAAGAACTACAGTAGAACAAATAATGATGTTCCGCATATGATGTTTATGCGGTGAAAGTGGAAGGAAACAGCGCTCGGGTCAGAGGTCAGACGGCAGCGCAGCGCGAGCATACTAGAGCAGATCAAGAACAAGAGAAGAACATGATTTAGACGAGTTTAGAGCCGGATGAACCCGCGCTGACAGACAGCAGAAACACTGTGAGCAACGAGACAGTCAGAAGACTTTCAATCTACAAATCACCAGCATTTACCATGGATTTACTCTAGTAACACTAACTGCACCATGGTATTGTGTCAGAAATGAAGGATATTCATATCAAATTTTATTATATTAATGTACACATGTATTAAAGGAGTAATGGAATATAATTACAGTATTTTTCGTGATTAAGCTATAGCATTTGTGCATTTATACTACATGTATTTAGACGGTTTCTAGGTATTTGTATGAAAAACAGTAGTTAGATTTTTACCGTGGTATTGAGATGCTATATGTGTGGTTTTATCATGATCTCAATGTTTGCTACTATGGAAGACCAAGGGTTAATTTTAATAAAACTCAGTCAGAATAATTACATTTCACCATATAAAAATGAGGTTGCGGTTTTTATGATAATGAACAAATTTGCATCTGCGTCCAAACTCAAGCTACTGCCACGTGTGCATTTCTGAGAGACAAAAAATGTAATATTAATAATGCAGCCTGCACTGCAAACTGTGCTGAAGATAAACGTCGTCAAAGTCAGGAACACAAACCTGCTTCATGATCTGAAACAATTAGTACATGCAGAAACTAAGAAATAAATTTTTTTTATTAAGATACTTATTTTGTTCAGGAAAAATGACTTGAAGAATTCAAAAGCGTGAAGTGTTTGTCGTGTTTGGACCATAAAGAGTTTAAAACCACATTTAACAGTCTGGTTTCTACAGCTTTCACTCAGGAGCAAGAATCTGCCTTTAAACTTGAAAGAAATACAGATTAGAAATTTATCGTGATAATTAAATGATCGATATCGACTGATATGAAAAAGTTTCATAAGTTTCAATTTTTTTGGCCCAGCCCTAACTGCATGTACGTGGATAAAATCTCTTCTGCTCACCAAAGCTGCATGTATTCAAGTAACAGAAATATTTTGTAAGCAAAAACAGTAATTTAGTGAAAAACTCTCCATAGAAATGTAACTGTATAAGTGTTCAGACTCACCTGGCGTCCAGGAATCGTTCCAGTTCTGCCTCATACTCTTTACTCTTCACACTGATGTCTCTGGTGTGACTAGAGGACACACAGTCATTCAGCTGTGAAACAGCAGCTTTAACTATACTTCTGAGGCTCAAATGTCCTCATTTGACTGGTCGTCACTAGGCTTGTAAATCATCCAAATTATGTTTGTATTTGAATGTAGTTCTGCACATGTTTCTGGGATGGGTAAGTTTAGGGCTAGAGGTGTGCTCTCTGATATAGTCAAACAAACATGAGTGTATGATCACGAGTGTGCGTCTGACCTTTCATGTAAATCTGCCAGGTGTTTGATCTCCATCTTCAGTGTCTTGAGCGTCTCCTGGTTCTCCTTCTTCTCCTGCTGGTCTTTCCTCACCTCCTCCTCTAGTTTCTGCTGGAACATGCTGAGCTCGGCGCTGGCGATCTGAACACAAGCGCAGTCACGTGTCTGAGCCGCAGAACCACACAAACGCTTCAGAACTTTCTCTACCTGCATCCTCAGGGTGGTCTTCTGGGTTTCCTCCTGAAGCGCTGCGATCTCCTCGGCCCTCCTCTGCTGCACAGCTTCATGATCCTCCTTCATCTGCTGGATCTCCTTCAACAGCTGCAGCCTCTGCTTCTCTTTCTGAAGCATGTCGCCCTGGAAGAAACACGGATTAGCTGTTCGCTATCAGCAGGCCTGCTGCTACTAATGAATGTAATGTTCACATCATGTGCTGAACCTCAAAGAAATCCACTCACGTTGTTGCTCTCGAAGGACACGTATGGCTCTGTGTTAATGGAGACATCTGTATGCTCTGCCAAATCCTGTAAGACAGCGTCAGGGGTCAGAGACGGCACTCATCCTGACAACATTCCCGTCATCCGTCCCATCTTACCTGCTCACACACGGCTGTGTGTTTGTCCTCGCTCTGCTCAGACGCCGGCGCTCGCTCCAGTACATCTGCTGCCAGATACTTGTAGTCTGAGACGGGACACTCGAAGGCATACGGGTCGGGGAGGAGCAGGAACGGATCGGAGGACGCAGACTCCTCTGGATCATCATCAGGAAGGCTGAGGTGAGCGTCTGCGTGAGGCCAGAACTCTTCAGCCGAGGGGTTGAGGTGTGACGGAGGCAGGGAGTCTGTCAGACACACGGCGTGCTTCATCAGGCCGATCAGCTCATCCATCATGACGAAGCGCAGAGACGCCAGCAGGAAGGACTCAAGTCCTCCAGCATCTGCGATCTTCTGCTGCGCCTCCGGAGGAAAGTTCTCCAGCTCGCCCACCATCAGCGGGTCCGAGGCGCACCGCGGCCCGTGCTCCTCCAGGATCTGAGCGAAATAACTGACACACACACACACACACAACCAGAGAGAGTTCAACTCGGCTTTAAAGAGCTCCAGCATTTAAAGCCACAGGCGATGAAACTGCAGCGCAATCATTAAGGTGCAGACGCATCAGTAGCTATGTTTCCATCCACCTATTTTTATGCGCATTTTGGATTATCGCATAAAATAACCGCTGGATGGAAACGCCAAGATGCACATAAATTCTAAAAATGCGCATTAAAAAAACGTATGTGCACAACTGAGTAGGATAAACTTTTTATCCGATGAGAAAAAATGTGCATGAACTACGATGGAAACACATTTACTGAATAAATTCCACCGTGCGCATTGAAAAAGTCATGTGAGTTTGCGCTATGAGACGGGATAACCTGACTAACCAGCGGACTGATCTCGTTCACAGCATCTATATGTTGTTTTGGTCATTCTGAAATGCCTGAGGAAAGTCTTCTTAGTGATTTATAGTGCCAGTTTATCAGGAAGTGACGATTTTGTTCTCTTTGACTCGTTGGATGGAAACGCTGCTTTATTCGCAGATGTTTTATGCGATATTCCAGTTTTGCGCATGAGTTAAATTCACATCTTTGGATGGAAACATAGCTAATGAAAGCTGGCAGATAAAACAGTGCATGGTCTTGTCAATAGTGTAGCGATATGAAGAACTGCTCATACAGAAGTCACTTTAAAAACCAAGCAGCTTTTCTGTTGATCAGCACAGCGAGTTCACATGACCAACATGAACAAGAGAAAAAATCTGCACGGGAACGTCATCATTCCTAAAAAGTAATGCATTACAATATTGCGTTACTCCCTTTAAAAAAAAGTTACTAATTGCGTTACTTAGTTACTTTTTATGGAAAGTAATGCATTACGTTACTTTTTCTCGTCTGGGCTGGGCTTGCTTGTTTGTTTTTAATATAAAAAATTTCTATTTTTGGCAAATGTAAAAGTCCTTTCACACCAAAAGTGAAATGAATGAGCCTCAGGCTGAAGGAAATGTAGATTCAAAAAGCTCAAACAATCCTTTCTTTCTGGATCACAGGAAGAACAGAACGCAGGAGAGGAAAGTTCAACATTCGTCAGCAATAAAACAAAAGAAACACAAATGTGATGTTTATCTAAAGTCATTTTTGCTCATTCGTATGGTTGATTTGGATCACTGAAGGTCAGCAGCAAAGACACTGGTTAGTAAAATGGGCTTTTTGTCATATTCTGAGTTTGCGTTTCACTGTTTTTATTGATTTTGAGGAATACTGAGTGTGTAGTAATGCATGTTCTCATTTATTCTAGATCAGGGATGGGCAACTGGCAGCCCACTGGATCATATTAGACTCGGATGATCAATTTTAAAACATTTGAAAAGCAAGTCATGTAAAGATTGCTTTCAGTTTATGATGTTAATACTATCTCCAACCAGGAGAGGTCGCTAGTTTCCAGTCGCTCCACTATTAATTTCAGCGTAGGACGTGCACTCTAATGTAAACATTCACTAACATTAGCAAATAATAATTGAAAAACTGACCATGAAAACAGTATAAACAGGTCAAGATGGTAAACAGATTATCTTTTTTACCAAGTTCAAGGGGATACCCATATGTTTGGTATGTTTGGA